GGGAAGATCCCACGTGCCGCGGAGCGGCTGGGCCCGTGAGCCAAGGCCGCTGAGCCTGCGCGTCCGGAGCCTGTGCTCCGCAAATGGGAGAGGCCACAACAGTGAGAGGCCCGCATAACGCAAGAAAAAGGAGAGGGAAAAAAAAAAAAAAAAAAAAAAAATCAGCACACATAGGTAAGCACTAATGAGCAAAAGTGTGAATCATTTTAAAGGCAACATTTTCCTAATTAAGGTTAATATTAATGATTTATATTATATTTTAAAGACTTACTGAAGTAGTCAAGTATTTTATTGTTGCTGTAGCCATTGCTTATAAACAGTTTTAATAGTAGCTTGCCAACTATTTAACCTAAAATACAGATATTTCTCTATCAGTCCTCAAAGTCATTACTTCTGGAATAATTGCAAACTATTTCGTATTATTAGAAATACTTTTTAATTCTACATAATCTTGTTCTGAGCTTTTGTTTTTATCCCATCTCAGACTGTTCATGATTACTTCATAAAACTTTTCCTCCCAAAAGATACTTTTTGTACCATGTAAAATGTATAGAGTTTCAACTTAATTTCCACCTCTAAGTAAAGTCATGTGCCTTTAGGTGATACTGATTCTTTGTTTAAGTTGTTTTTTTTTTTTTTTACTCTATTAGAAAAAGAATTTAAAGTAGCTTATATATTTATGGATAAAGAGAGAATGCAGGCAGTGTAAAAAGAGTAAATTTAGGTTTTTCCAGTTATCCCAAATTTGCTGAATATTATAATATGACCTTGGATTTGACTCTGAGTTTGGTTAAGGAAAAAATTATTCTGACACTTGTTAAAATGGTAAGGAAGACTTTATTCCAGACTATTGTGAGACGCGTCAAAACTATCAAATTAGGGGAGATTGAGCTCAACTCTGAATACAATAAGGGCAACTGGAGATTTACAGCCAAGGAACAGGCTATGTGTGAGGGAGTGGGTGGGGATGGCCAATGAAAAACTACTAAGAGGAGACATCAAGTGTAGGGAGAATTCTTGCTACACTTATTTTAAGAGCTTTCTTACTGAATGGCAGGCCAGCGTGATCAGATATCAAGGATGGAAGATGAGGAATTTGAAAGTGATCACATATCAAGAGTGGGAAAAATCCTCTCTAAGCTGATTCAGCAGG